GCTTTCATTCCATTTAATCCACTTTAGGGCTTTTATCCCTTTTCATCCACTTTAGACTTATTGTATATCATCGCATCACAATATCCTTCCAATACCTCAGGATATCTTGTGAAATGTAATCCATAGGTCATAGTATTTCAAATACCTAAGGATCTCTATCAATGCCACCCAATAATCATGGCCTGGATTACTCATGAATCTACTAAATTTATTCACAGCAAAAGCATTATCCAATCGAGTGCAGTTCGTAATATACATTAGAATGCCAATTACTTGTGAATATCTCAGTTGTGACACGCTTTTACACCCTTATTTTGACCAAGTATGGACTTGTGTCAATAGGGTTTTTTCTGAACATTCCTCTAATACTCGAAACTTTTTAAATATTTTCTCAACATAATGAGACTAGGAAAGTACAATTCATTCCGATGTTATAGAAATTTTTATCTCTAGTATTACATATGTCACACCCATATCTTTCATGTCGTAATGCTTTATAAGCATTTTCTTGGCGTTTAGTACTATTTTGTGACTATTGTCCATCACCAACATACTGTCTACATATAGACATACAATCACATAAGCATTTGGTGTATTTTTCACGTATACACACTTGTCACATTCATTTATTTTGAAATTGTTTGACAATATCATTTTATCAAACTTTTGGTGTCATTGCTTAGGAGCTTGTTTCAATCCATATAAGGACTCAATAAGATTACAAACTTTATGGCTTTCACTTGGAGACGCCTTCAGGTTGCTCCATGTATATCTCTTCTTCTAACTCACCATTTAAGAATCCCAATTTCAAATCCACTTGGATAATCTTAAGGTTATGTATTGCCACAGTTACAATTAGTAACCTTATCGAAGTGATTCTAGTCATGGGTGAGTGGGTAAAGAAGTCAAATCCTTCTTCCTGCTTATATATTTTGGCAACCAATATGGTCTTATATTTGTCGATGGATCCATCTGGTTTTAATCCATTTACATCCTAAGGCTTATTCTCATGTATGAATGAATTTACATTATGGAATCTATCTCACTATTGATAGCTTCCTTCCAATGCGGTGCTTCAGAATAGACATTGATTCTTTAGAAGTCTTTAGGTTATTTTCTACCATATATGTTAGAAAATTTGGGTCAAACGAAGTGGACGTTCTAGCCCTCTTACTGCTCTTTGGTTCTTCCTCATTTAAAAACCCATTTGTAGTTTCATATGTTCTGTTATTCAACTTACATTTTCCTTATCTTTGCAAGGAAACACATTCTCAAAGAATATCACATTCATTGACTCAATTATGGTACCCTAGTGTACATTAGATTTGTATATGAGGAAACGATATGCACTACTGTTATTGGCGTATCTAATAAATATGCAATCAACCGTTTTAGAACTAATCTTTATTTATTTGGGCTTAGGAATCTCAACATTTGCCAAACACCCCCACACTTTTAAGTGTTGGTCGGAAGGAGGATGACATTTCCATAACTTATATGATGTCTCTTCCATTTTCTTGAGAGGTATAAGAAAGTGTAACTTTAAACTAAGTTACCCCTACAATTCCTAAATTAGGGCTATATATCCAAGTAGTGGCATTGTACCCACACAACTTGAACTTTTCACATAAGTTCTCAAGCATTTATGATAACCTCCACATTTTTGGATTATTCTTAACCTTAGAGATTATCAACTCTTTCATAGTTCAATCCATTTATCACTTAGATAATATCTGAATTGGATTCTTGATGAAAGTCTATGTACTTTCAAAATAGTGGTCATTGTTTCACGTGAATGAAAAATCATTTTCCATTCGAAATTGTACTTCAATCAACCATATTAATTTGATCATCACTAGAGCAACAATGCTTTTCCAAACATAAACCAACTTAATTGGTTACACGATTGAAGTCAAATTTAACAATGAAGAAGACTAAACATCTTCAACCATGTGCAACTTTCACATTTGTGACATTTCACAAATAATATTATTTACATCAAATAATAAAGTACATTTCAACTTATTCACGATATTCACATTTGAATGAATTAATCAACTATCAGTTGAAAAGTTGTGTTTGCAAACAACACAAGCTTAAAAGAGGACACACCTCTTAAAATTATTCCTAGAATATTTCATGATATTCTTCACATTTTTGCATAACATAATTTTTATCCTTTATAAATAAATATCATTTTACAATCATTATTTTTAAGGATTTTTGGCACCACTGCCAACTATAGATATCATTTGTGCTCTATAATATATTTTCATATCTCAATAATTGGGGAAGCAATTTCCAATTTAAAATAATTAGGACAGAACCACATTTTGTCACTCTTACGTAATTCATCTCATTCAATCATTCCAAACAAGGGATAGGCCATTGTATTGACAAATAAATTTTATACGTCAAAATTATGAAACTATATGCCCGTTCATAATTTTTAACTTGGAATTATCGACTTGCAAAATATAAAATGGTTCACAATGTCCATTTATAATTAATCAAAGATGCAATGGACACAAGCACATGCATAAGTCCACCATTTCATTGCATTTAAAATGAAAAGTCACATTATTCCAATCATTTCCTCCCATGGCAGTTACAAATATACAATGAGTCGTCAAAACATATTCCATAATTTCAATAGAGAGGAAATTACTAATTACATGAATCGCAATCAAAACCATGAATTGCATTAAACATGTATTTAATGAATCTATATTTCACATGCAATAATTTGGAGTCCCTTCTACTTCCAAATTAATTCATAAAAGTTCATTTTCGATTTTCAGTTTAAGAATGCAAATAGATATTGGCAAATGAAACTACCCAAAAGGACAGATTAACCGGTAAATGATTTTTATCCATTACCCACCATGGTAACATTATCTTCCAATTGTTAAATGATTTATACACATCTTATGCACATTTTTCATGCAGTTTGTCCATTCGCTGGCGGTTGATCAGACAAATATTCAAACATAATTCAACATATATGTAGGTAACAATTTAAAAGTAAAGAGATGTGGACCAATGGTCACAAAATCTTGCACTTTCCCATCATTCACGAAAAAGGATCATTCATACTTATACACAATCATGTGACAGTAGTCATATTATTAAATCCAAATTACTCCACCATAATATCATGAATGCAGAGATTGACTCGCTAATTCATCTATTTCCATACAAAAACATTTATAAACCATTTGTAGAGAATACACTTGATGGTATATTTGCCAATTCTAAATAAAATTTTGGAATATAAATGCACAATAAAAACCACTAAAATTCATCTTAAGATTGTTGAAAAATTACACCGATATTGTGCATATTTATATTCACAAAACATGCCATTTATGTTCACGAAATTGAAACGCAATTTCGTCTTACCGAAATGAATTTAGGAAGATGAAATGACAGATTCAATTATTTCCTTTCTTTATTTCAAACCTACATGAAATCAAAAGAATGTTATTAATTTTCTAAAATTAAATACAAAGAAAGAATCAAGGTGAGATGCAAATGATGTGATAGGCCGAGACAAGTGGTAGACACTTTATCCTTAAGATGAATTTGCTCCGCATCGGTGCTAACGATTTTTCGACAATTATCTCCTAAGATACAATGACCACGTCAAGTTATAGGAGCACTCCAAAAGACTTTGACCAACGAACTCGAATGGAGTTCCTTCTCTACCATAATCATGACTTTGATTGAAGTGTTTTATGCAAACTAAATTTTAAGTATGGAATGGAATGATATGGAACTATCTATTGACTTTCATGAGTTTCTTGAATTATAAAATTCAAACACATGGGTTCTTTATATAATAGTTGGAAGGATATGTCAAAAGACACAAACATACCAAGAGTCACATCTCTTGGAATTCATAATTATTGGAAAATGATTATGCAAAAGGTCATGACCGTTCATATGAAAATACATCTTCTCATCCAACTCTTTTCTAGAATATTCCACAATATTCTATACAATTTTCCAACAATTTCAAGTATTAAGCGGCTTACATTTAGCTTAATTTCTCATTCATCAAATTAAGAATTCCACTTAAATAATTATGTAAAATTGGTCACAAACAATTTTTGATACAAAATTCCAACATTATGTGGGGTGTTATGCAATTTAGCTTTTAGTTCATGGTTTAATTTCTGCTGGTTTTTAGTATGTTAGTGGGTCAATTAGCTGATTTTTAGCATGTTAATGGGTCAATTAGTTATCTGTAATAATCTATTTAAAGCCTTCGGTTGTTCAATGAAAGGGGCACAGCCTTGAAATTTCCAACTATTTTCTCTCGGAAGTGATTTCCTACCCTTTCAGAAATCAGTGTGATATTGAATTTCTGGGAATTTTATTTCTGCATATTGCATACACCAATGATAGGCCGATGAGACTTAGAATTGGTAGTGATTCAGAGATTACGAAATGTTTTTTCTATTGCCTGATTTGGTTGCTCGATGGTGCATCACCTGATGAGGTATTGAGTGTAAAAACTGAGCATTTGGTGGACATGAATGTGGGGTTGAGAAACAGGGTTCCTTCTCGGGTGAACACTTTGCATAACGTGTTAATTAGTATATAGAAGAGAGCCCCCAGGGCATATCTCCCAGTGGCAAAGGGGAGGGCGGATAGGGCTCAGCGCGGCAGTGTGCAGAGTTCGATTCCCCAGAAGGTGGAATTGGCTTTGTTGCAAGTGAGAGTTACCATATGGGTTAACAGCCTTGGCCTATTCATGTGCTTTTCACCCTGGCTTTTGGAAGCACATCCTGCGATTTATCTCCTCCACGATGGCCCAGGGCAAGGTCGGTGGAGGCCCTTAAAGTTGGGGTTCAACCTTTTTTTTTTAGTATATAGAAGAGAACTAATTGTTTATAGAGTCTTGAAGTTTCATCTTAATGAGTCAATCCGTGTTAAAGAAGAGTAGACTTTCGATTTCAACGTTAAGAGGTCTCCCATGAGAAGAGATACACAAATATTGTAATTTGACAGTTTATTTAGAAAGATAAAGAAAACACATTCATTTTCTTGTGAAGCAATACAAATGTTGAAGCAGTAACAAACACAAACAAACTTTGGTACAAATTATTCCAATACATATATGGTTGCGGACCTGATAAGCAACCTTTTATTCATGATATTATCAAGCAAGCAAGCAAGTTGAGATTATTTAGCTATAATCTCAGCATTTACGGTAGCAAAAGCAAGCGAATCCCCAGCCCCTTCTGTGGCAAGCTCCGTGCAGAGCTCCCTCCCAGTTCCTACATTGCCGGTTGCAGTTGCCGGTGTTCAAGCATAACCCCGACCATGTTTTGCTCAGTCTCGAACAAACTTTTGCTTCCGCCATCTGCACCTCTGATATATATATATATATATATATATATATATAGAGAGAGAGAGAGAGAGAGAGAGAGAGAGAGAGAGGCTGTATTAGCAAAGTTTATCAACATTCGCATGCATGCTTAAATTATGTCAACAACTTTATAAAGTACGAGGTACTGATTAAGACTGCACAATATGATAAATAAATTTTAATGTCTTTTTCTTAGTTGAAGTGCTATCAAATCCGAATTAGAATTCTAATTGGTGGAGGTCTTGACTTCATCTTCCTCTCTTGCTTGTAATTTTTCTTTTGTTATCTATAAAATTAAAATATTTTAATAAAAAAAATCCTTACTACCAAGCAAACTTATGGCATGTTTAGCATATTGAAATGTTATGCCGTTTCACGTACTGTATACGAAGAATGCGTTTGGCATGACTTTTTAAAAGTCAAAAGAAGATTTTTGACATGTTTGATAATTTCATTCAAAAGAAATCTATTTAGATGAACTTTTAGAGGGAGATGTATCAATATGGCCTCCTCTAAACGTTTTTTTGAAAAAGAATTCTTTTAGAAATTAGTTTCAAACAATAATTAAAGTAGCTTCATCATGAAATTTTTCTACAAGATGTCTTGACCGAAAGTTGGAAAAGACATTTATTTTGAAAAAAAAAAAATGAAGAAGAAGAAGAACTAAGGACCTCTTACCATTGGATGCTATGAGGAGGAAGCAGATGAGAAGGGCAAAGAAAATGACTTTGGAAATTTGAGATTTTGCCATTTGCTACGTGTATGTTGTGAGGTTTTTCGTGCTTGTGAGGAATAGAGTGAGGGACAACAGAGATATATATAGTAGTCTTGGGGCTAATTTGGTCATTTGAGTAATTGTTGAAGCCTCACTAAAGAATTATAGATTAACATAACTAATTATCCTAGGTAACATGCCGAGGATTTGATAGTGAGACTTCCTACTCCAAAGATAATGTTAAAATAATAGAGTTTGACTTAATCAAACCATACTTGTTCACACGTCTGCACAAAACCATAACTTGCAAGAAATTGAGCACTAAAATAAACTTATAACTTATTTTTATAACTTAAAATTGTCCAGAATCTCGGAGTCTACCTTAACCAAACAAGTTATTTATAATTTCGATAAGAGATCATTATTTGCTAATTTACTTAAATCAAGGGTTTGACTTAAAGGTAAATAGTGTTTATGAAGAAAAAGAGGGTTTACTTGATCAAATCATCCTTGTAAGGAAGACTGCATGAAACCATGACTTGCACATATTAATCATTTTATGATACGTTTGGTACATTTTATTACATAAGATTAAATAATAATTTATCATTTTATCATCTTAAAATTATCTGGTGTTGTACAATTTATCTGAATTGTGAAGCAACTTATTAGTAGTTTCAATAAAAGGAGATTTATTGCTGAACATGAGGGTTATAGATACGATTTTTTTCATGACATGTATAGTATTCTCGAGTTTAAGTTGTTGAGTAAGTCATTATCCGATGGCTGCAATTGTCGGATTTAATTGGCATGATATTTTACTAATAATGGGTGCATATATATAACCTAAATGTGTAGTAATAGTAAACTTACTCCATCTCAAAACATGAAGTACAATGTGACTATAGTTCAAAACCAGTCAAATCCCATCATTTTACATGGTATAATATTTTCTCAACTCATGGTCGCTCATGTAGTTGATACTTAAATAAGATTGTGTAAATTTGTCATTTGGAAAGTTCATAACTTCTTTATAGTTTCCTTGAAAGTATTCAAAAGCTTCCTCGACATATTCCCCATGATCTTAGATGAATAGGTGTGGTATCTCCGGTCTAAGATCACATATTTCCCTATCCAACTTTATATGCCTATTCAATCATATTAAGATGGTTCATTAAATTACTGAGACGGAATGGGGAAAAAAGAAAGCAACTCAAAAAGAAGAGATGATAAAACTTGTGGCTCCATTGAACGCCATCAAAGGTAGTAATAAGAGTTTGCATCAATATATTTGATTGAGCCCCTTAGTTTATGGAATGCCAGCTGGTTAAGCCGAATGTTATGCTCGACATGGACCATATACCATAGCAGAAACAGCATGTATATTATTGCTAAAATATGTCACAAGACAAATAAAAAAATAATTGGCATCTTTGAATCAAAAGTAGCATAACAGATTAATAAATGGTTAAGTCAATGATCAGACCATTGAAATATATTCCAAATTTGAAAACGAAGAAACCAGGCATCATTTTATGGGGAGTCCAAAACCTCTTAGGATAAATAGAAATCAATAAAACCAATACAAGAATTGGTGTCCCACCCCGTTATTTTAGGTTTAGAAGAAAAAGTAAACGGGACAGGTAACAAATTGGCTAATATTATGAATACATTGTTTATTTCGAAAGGATTAGGTATTCTCCTCAAAGGTAATATTAATAATACCCTCTTCTGTAGGAAGAAATTCGGTGTTTTCACTTAAAAAAATAAAATAAAATAATAATAATAATAATAATAATAATAATAATAATAATAATAATAATAATAAATGGGTAATTATATTATCACTACAAATTTTAATTACTACACCACAATTTTTAGTATTTTTCTTATTTACTTAAATAGTCTTATGTAAAATTACATAATTAGAGTTTAATATATAATTAGCCAAAGATAAATTATCGCTCCATCACAAATAAAAATCTTGTTATAAAATGAGAGGAAAAGAGAATAGAGAAAACTCAATAAACTTTTTATGTATTATTGAAAACCAAAGCCCAAAATTTATAGGTAAGAATCAGAGATACAATGATAATAATTTCTAGGGCTACAGGGGTACAAATGTTATTCACCAATAAACTTTAATAGACTTTCCATTTACAACAAATCTTAATTTTTTTCAACATCTAATTGAGCATAGCTTTTCCATCGATGGCGACTTTTGCTTTCTTCCACAGCGGCAAAGATAATTTTCTTTTCCCCACAATAAATTTATATATACTATATGGTCCTATTCCATGATTTTTTTCCCTTAGTCTAATAGCTTCATGAACTGAGAATTAATTAGGATAAATTAAGAATCCCCTCTATCTTATGCCGCCTATGCTTTCAACGCAGAGGCACTGCTACCACCATAATGTATTTGCTGGAAGTAAATTACTGAAGATTCATCCACAAGCAAATAATAATAATAATAATAATAATAATAATAATAATAATAATAATAATAATAATAATAATAATAATAATTTCAAGCAGATGAAAAGAAAGTTGAAAAACACCAACATGGCAACATGTCATTAAAATTAGTAAAGACGAATTCTTGGGTTTGTTTACACTTATTCAGAGAAAATTGGATAGAAATTTGGGATCTCTATATGTGTTGATAATATTTACTCCATTCCATTCCAAACTTGCTACATTTGAAGTCAATGAAATAAAAATTCAGAGAACTCTTGGGAGAAAAATTATGGAAACTAATTATTGGGGGTAAATGGGCACTATTCTTGAGCCATAATATTGCAATTAAATTATTGGGGTGAATAATGAAAAACTTGCAATGTGTCAACACGGATGGAGATGAAAGGCTGAAAGAGAAAAACGTATTCTACGAAAAAATAAAATAGATGAAATATATTGGGAGAATGAGCACATCACAATATTGAATTTTATTTTTGATTTTTATTGTATTAAGAGTATAATTATAAATTTATTGTAGTGTATTTATTGAAAATATATTTTAATTATGGTGTGATTAGAATGTGCATGGTGTAATAATTAAATTTTGGGGTGGTAACATAATTATTCATATTAAATATCACATCAAGTGAGAATTATTTTTTCAGCAACTCTAGTCTCTATCTCTACTACAATTTAATTATTTCAATAATACTTTTCTTTTCATTTTTCAATATATATTTAACATTCAATTATGTATTTCACTATTTACGTCACATCAAGTAAAAATCATTTTTAGACGATTCTATCCCTACTATAATTTAATTATTTAAATAATATTTTATTTTTCGTTTTTCAATATATATTTAACATTCAATTATGTACTTCACTATTTACGTGCATGTATAATAATTAACATTTGTTTTCAAGGTTTCCATTTCTCTCATATTTAAATTAAAAGGGTGCAAATTAATTATATTTTGTACGTTTTGGGGGCTATTCAATTAATCTAGGAAATTATTCAAGTTCATGTACACTTATTTATTTTCAAGATTATTCATTTAATCTATGATATTAATTTATTCTCTAGGTTCACGTACACACCATTTTGTCGAAATTCTTTTTCAAGATCATGTATATATAAATTATTATTTTTCTATATTCATTAATTCAAATTAATTAAAGTTCATGTTCATGAATGTATTTGATTGTTCTCATGAGTGTTATATGTAAATGAATTAATCTTTCAACTATTTAAATTATTTTCATGAAGTGGTATTACTTCATTTCAATCATCAAATTGCTCTGCATAATGGAATCAAAAACTATAAGAAACTTACAGGTGTATGAAAATGAATAGTTTATTAAAGTGACGGTAGTTCGAAAGGGTTTAGTCGAATCTTATTCCAACAATCATGAGCTCTCCCGTAATAAAACCAGTTGTTGCTGATACCTTCTTCTCGGTTATACTGAAAATTTTGTTATTTTGAGGTTCATTCTAATTGACAAGAAGGTAATACGTCTAGTATGATGACTATTTATTTTGTAATTACATTATCCATAAACCTCATTAATCTTAATCTTAATATTCAATTATTAATTAATTTTTTTTTCGGTTCATCATCTTCAACTTTGACATAAAACAATTCATGAAATTCTTGTGAATGCATGCGGACACCAAATCTCAATTAAATGCCCAAAGTCATATGGCAATTACAAAGGTTTTGGTTAAGTTAGATACTCTTAATCACACAAAAAAATATAGTGTATAAAGAGATTCTCATTGAATAAAAAATTCATTTTACATAAACAATTTTTTTTTTTTTACTATTTTTTATATTCACGCATCTTCAAATATTATTTTTACAGCCCTCATAAAGCATTTAAAATAACGCCTGTTGCACGTTCACCTTTGACTAGTTAAGAATAAAAATGCACTTATGACATGTTTGCTACAAAGAATTGAATAGCACCCGACAATATTAAAAAAGAATTAAAATATCATTTAGTATACAGTTCAACAGTACAATACTAAATATGCGCTAAAATTTTTTAAAGTACTCAGCTGCTATCTAATTTCAGACATTTGAAATGTGTGATATCTTCCATAGTCAATGAATTGCTTTCAAGTATGCAAAGAGTTAACTCAAAGCTAGAATGTCATAGAGCTTTTTATTTTTCTTCAAACAACAATAATTCACAAATTTTCGCACGGCAAAATATTTGCCCTATAAATAGCACCATGATGAAATTTCCAAGTAGGGTGAGGAACACTAAAATCTCAACAAGTTGGGTAACAAAAATGTATTTAGCCCGTCTTCTGAACTTCTTCTCTTCCTCTGTTTTCTCCCTCTTTGCTCTTCAGTTTTGAACCTAAATGAATTGAAGATAATGTTCGGAATATACATATTTGCTGAACCAACCACTCTAGAACATTCAATCCAAGATTAAGGGAAAAAGAAACAGATATTTTAATAGCGTATTCTTGAAAATTAAATTCTGCAATTTTTCTGATACTTTACCTTTTCCTGAAGCCCCTACTGCAAAAATAAAAATTAAAAAATAAATAAATAGGGGGAAGTATTGATATAAGCAGGGTTG